GACATTTTCCTTCAGAAGCATATACATATATGCATACTTAAAAATATGAGTATTTCTCAGTCATAAAACAGTATTATGTAACATGAATGCTATTCATATATGAGGCGATTGCTTCTTTGGATAGTTCAATATCACCCCAGATCTTGTAAAGGAAGATAAAAGGGAATTAAGTTGACAGATACTCTGTTGATATTGCTGTTTTCTCTATAAGAACAATAAAATAAAGAGAATTCTACCATTATATAATCCTATTGTTATTCAATTTTGGCATTAAACACACTTTTCCACACTTTTCATTATCTCTTTCCACATCTTTGGGCATGCAATCCTTTCTTACATTCAATAGTCAGGTGACAATTGGAGGCTTTTATTGATTTCTTAGACTGTAAAAGACATTTTCCAGTTGTATACAAAATAAATCATTTCTATTTTAATGCATTAGTTATATTTACTTTTGCTGATCTAGTAGTCACGCAAAAGTCTAATGTCAGCAAGATACAGACACTGAAGTTTGTATAATCGTTTGTCTGTAACCACGTATACTTAGGCATTTTAATGTATATATATGTATATCCCATTTAATAGGAAGAGCGATGCAACTTCATGATTACGCAGGACAACAGACGAATTTTCAAGTACCACAGATAATCATGAATAGATAAAAATAAAACATTAGAAAACAGTAAATGTCAATCAATATTTTCTTGTCTCTCACTAATAACTACTGGTTCTAAACAATGAGTTATGTAAAACGTTATTGACATATCTGTCAAATTAAGTTGTTGAGTTGTTTTCTTATTTTTTATCTACCGCAAAACTCAGTTTTATCAGTAAATGAAAAAAATTCCCATATTGAAATCAAAACAAGATTTTGAGCGAACAATTGTTTTCGATAACTTCTTCTTCTTTAGGCTCTGTAGTTATAAATCCATGAATAATAGAGTACATATAGCCAATAAAGGCAAATGAAAGTAATATCAGAAACTGACTGTATTGGGGTGCATGTGTAAGTTGAGATGATGTGTAAGAGGGTATATAGTCAGAAAAAATGTGGTGAAGTGTGAATGAACAATTCGGTGATATAGTGTTGTTTTATAGTCAACAGAATACAAATGTCATTGGGGTGAGAGAAATGCGATAACCACAAAATACATACAAACACACATTAACAAAGGGGACACCGAATGTGAGGGTTGACTGATAATGTCTAATGATAAAATAAAAGCGCTAAACTGTAAATTGTGATAAGATGTTACAGAATTGGTAGGCTTAGTATAAAACCATAAAGGTTGACAAAAATTAAGGGTAACAATGAGGTGAAATAAACTGGGTGGAGAAATGGATAATGAAGACATGATATCACAAAATGATAATAATGATAATGATAGTACGAAAAATTATGAATTTGCTTTTCTTTTTTATATTTTCCTCGGTCAAAGACATCTCTGATTATATTTTTGGACATAATGAATAAAGGTCGAACCTATTTTAGAATATAAAATGATGACACAGACTTGTGTTATCAGTTACTGTTCTACCTGGAAATTACACATAACCGAAACTTGCATCCCGTACACAAACTAAGTAGCCCAATAAAAGTGACGCTATTACTTATGAGATTTTTTGGTAGTCGTATTTGTATAGCTCATAATCATATGATATCACCTTGATATGATTATGAGCGATAAATTGTTCTTGAAAACGTCATCAGTAAATATTACTGTATAACACTGTGAGACTTTATCAAAATAAATTTTATCCGCAATGGAATTATACTCTACCACAGTGCACAAGTTCTATTCTTATATCAACGGAAATAGAGTAGTCTAATGGAGCTAGTGTTTTGAAGATGCTTCCAGTAATGATCTAACCAGAGTCAAGAAAGACTCCATTCGTATTTGAGCGATGCGCTTTGTCAGACCTCGAAGGCAAACAATTCTTTACAAAGCAGTTATTCTGTAACCCTTGAAACCAAACGGAATGATTCATACTTCCTGAATTAAAAAATTAAATCAAAATCACGTACCGTCTGTGAGAACAGTCATTCGTCGAAATTGTACTTTTATTTAGTATGTTTAAAATCGAATTATTCATTTTATATAATTAAGGATGATTCTAGATGGCTGAAGGGAATAGACATAAGGCCTGGATAGAGGTTCCGTATTTGTGGGCACTCTCTAGCAAGTGGTATCTGGGATCTTAAAGGGAGTCATGTTCCCTCTGAGATCCGAATTGGCATAACCCAGTGCTGCAATCAGAGATACTTCCACTGATCTATTCGGCCGCTAGATGGACCTCCTGTGGGACTTTATTGAATACCTTTTGATCGGTCACTAGGCAGTAACAAATCCCATGCTTTATTGACATGTGCCAACAGGAACAAAAGGCTTCCTGCCTATTCTCTTCAACCATCTAAAATCAATCGAAGGTGCTCCTCTACAGGAAGCCGCCTAGCACGCTAACCACTTAACAAACCTGAGTGACAAAATTCAGACTTATGACACTGGTTGCTAACTGGTGAACCATCAAAATATAAGGATAATTCTGATTTGTTTTCATACCGAATTTACATTCATCTGAATATATTTGGTATATAGAGCTACATAATAGGGGAATAAATGCATCAAAATGATACATACATCAAATCATTTTTTATGACAGAATAGTGAAAGGTTTCTTAGAAGCAACTCCTACCAGACACAAAGAGTTGGCTAACAGTACTCTGCCGAAAAACACGTAAATGTATAAAACAATAAGTTTCTTGTTGATATTAGATGGTTGGAGGTAATTGGCAGGAAGCCACATCTGACCTAGGTTTCGTGCTAGTTGGCACTCATCAGCAAGGCGTATCTGCAAGCTTGAAGGAACTGATGTCCCTTCTGAGATTCGAACCCGCGTCGCCCAGTTCTGCAGTCAGAGACGTTACCACTGAGCTATTCAGGCTCGCGATTGACCTCCTGTAGGACTGTAGTGGGTATTTTGATTTGACACTAGTAACTAGTGTGATGCGTCTAGTCCTATATTTGGCGCTCAGTGGTAACGTCTCTGACTGCAGCACTGGGTGATGCGGGTTCAAATCTCAGAAGGGACATGAGTTCCTTCAAGGTTGCAGGTACACCTTGCTGACCAGTGAGTGCCAGAAAGCACGAAACCTAGATCTAAGGCTTCCTGTAGCCGGTTGCCTCCAACCATCTAATATCGTCAAATCAATGTACACTGTGATGGCGAGCTGCCTAGAATGGTGGCCACATTACAACCTGACTGACAGAATTCAGTCTGCACCAAAGAGAGGACTAGACGCATCACACTAGTTACTAGTGTCAAATCAAAATAAGTTTCTTATTCGAAACCACAAACATGCCTTCTGTAACTCTTCCCCAGTGTGATTTGGTCTCTTAAACAAAATTTTCACAGATGTTTACATAAGCTACATCTAGAAGTCTACATCTCTGCATTTTTTCTACGACCTTTAAGCACTAATCACTTGGTGACTGCATATCAGTTTGTGAAGAACTCACATTACTTTATTCATTTATGCACACAGAATAAAACTTCGAACGTTTATCTTATCAGTGCAGAAGTGCACTTAATTTAGATCTTATGTTAACCGGTGAAACGCAGTTTTGTTAAAGTAATCACATATTGTCCAAATGATAATATTCGCAAAAACAACCGAAGAAAACGAAAATGCCAAATACACCGGAATACTTGAAATATCTAAGGCGAATAAATGGTTGTAGCACTCATGAAAACAGAAAACCTATCTAAAGTTCTGAGTAAATTTTCATCTGCTAAAAATCGTTTTTATTAGGGTTAATAATAACATCAATATTTTTAAAAGTTTTGCCGCATAAAATGATATCCAGTAGACGTTTTCGACACTTTTCACCAGACATAGAGCCATAAAAATTTGTGCATATGATAACGCTTGTGGTAACATCATTTTTATTGATACATGTGTTTATTGAATGTACAAGACTGATCAGATCATGAGAAAATAAAATGAATCATGCTTTTCTCTTCCAAATCCTGAAAATTAGGAGTCTCCTCAGATATGTTACATACGAAAAAACAGAACCTGACTTAGATAACATCGACTATGATAGGTTCTTACAAAAGATTGTCAGTATGATATGAAGCATGTTAAGTAGCATGTGCGTCGGTGGCACAGCGGTAGGATACTTACCAACCACGCATGTGTTTCGGGGTTCGATGCCCGGCCACAGCCGCACTCCTTTACCTCGCTAAGCCAGTAATAAGACTGGTAAAGTAAGAAGGCTGGGCATGAGGCTAGCAACCCCATCCTGTAAAAATAAACACCACTGCTACCGAAACTTCAAAGCTCTAGCCTGAAGACCTATGTTCCACTGGGAACGTAAAGGAGTAAAGTAAAATGATAACAGTAATAAATAATAATAATATTTAGGAGCAAAACGCACACTGAGATTAGTTTTCATTTTCTGATAATAATTAACACGGTAACTGGTTAGACCAATTTTTTTTCTGGTCTGACTGTCAAAAAATATGCAAAAATATTGTTCTGCTTATGGAAAACATTTGTTTAAAAAGAACCTCTTAGGATCAGTACAAATATGTTAACATATTAGGAGACATTCAGGCAGTGTAAGTCATAAGCGAAGTATACCAGGTGGATTATAAAAAAACACGAAAATATTTCCAAATAGTATTTCAAATCATTATTCATGGTACTCGGTAAAAAAACAACATGAAGTTGTCAAAGATCTACCCTGGTTTCAATCTATTCTATAGGTAAAACGGTATGACATAAATGTCATCAACTCTTATAACATGACATGTTCCAAGTACCCTAAAACAAGCATAACAATTTTTGAGGGAGACAGTAATTTTGGGGACATATATTTCATAATATCTGATTACATGTTTTTCTTTTTTGATTTAGTCTAGTTAAAAGCTTAACATTGTCATATTTTCGCCCTCTCTTTCTTTCTCTCCCTGTCTTACTCTCATGGATTTCTTAGGTCATTGAGAGCAAAACTGGACTGTCTGTATAACATTTTACACACAGCTTGTCCATCAAATGCTGTTCGATTAATAATGAATTATTTCAAAGAAACTCTACCTGATGGTTGTTCATTTAACTATGAGACAAGATTATCAAAACACTTGGAATCCGTTCAAATGACTCAGTCAATTAACAATGATGAGAATGTTGATGAACGCAACAGTCGGAAACATCTTGTAACGGATAATTTAATAAAAAGTGTTAAAGCAAGTCCACAAAAGCTGTTAAAGAATTATTCAAGCTATTTGAGTTATAGTTTACTACATATACTATTAGATAACATTGTGATTATCTTGATTAAATTCTTTTCTTTCCCTTAAAGGTTTCTTTTTCTATTACTGTTCTTAGTTGTTATTTAATTTAATTTAATTTCCTTGCTAAGGAGTTGAACGTCATTCATTCACACTATTCCACTGTGATCTCTTGTATAAACATTTTTATGTACTACTAATGCAAATGTTAGTAGCTTAACAAGTGATCTCTTTTTTGTGTACATACCAATGTAATTTTTAGCCACAGATATTGAAATGAATGTCAGTACAAATTGATGAGTAAAGCAGTAATAATAATTCGTTCCACAGAAATTCAGAATTCCATTTTCTTTTTCGCATTGTTCTTTCTGTTTGCCGATTTGATTTTTCTTTCCCATAAAGATTACTGTACAGATATACTTCTATTTTTTAAGTGGAAAATAACTTTTGAAAAATAAATATGTTAAAATAAATTAAAAATTGAACTTGATATACAATTGTTTATTGTTCTTCTTTTGGATGTTGCTTTTCGCTGTGAGTTTAATTTCTCGGTGGGGTATTATTCATTATTATTATTATTCCCACGGGCTCTGAGTGGAACATAGGGCTTCAACAACACACGATTGCCCCGAGGGCTTCATCTTCTCCTTACCTGTTCCCCCCCCACGTCACCTTTGGATCCATGCCTGACTCGTAATTTCCGATTCAGTTTCTACTCGAACAGTGGTCTAGATAGCGATTTCGCTCAGCGGTCTCCTCAGCGTATGTCCAACCCAACTACATTTCCTTCGTAATATTTGTTGAGCAGTGGGTTCTTGATTGGTTCATTCCCAGAGTTTCTTGTTGGGAAATCTTTCTGGCTAACCATCTGATCTTACTATGGATCCAGCGAAGGTAGCCGTTGATGAAAGTCCTCAACTACCTGTTGGAAAAACGTTTCGTAACGGGAATGCCAAGTTTCTGACCTATATGGAAGAACTTACTGACTTAACATCGGTGTTGAAAATTCGAATTTTGTTCCTTATACGAGTAGTATTAGATGATTGTAACCTTACTTCCCTTTGTGTTGAATCCTGCTGTCATTATCTTAGAGATTGATTCCCACTGCATAAGAACTTTGACTGCTATTAGTGACATCATGATAGCCACTCCCTTAGTATGCCAGTGGTTGTCGTCTGTGTAACCTGAGTTGATTACTGGCTCTACATTTAACAGACTGAAGAGTCCACATCCATTCCACCTGCTCTCACAGATTCGTAACACTTCTGTGCCAGATCTGCTAATTTATTTGGTAACCTGGGCAGCCTTGCCAGCTTCGTACATTGTACGAACATTCCACGTCCCAGTGTTTATTTTAACTTTCATCGAAAGGAAACACATCGTCTGACTTGATTTCTGAAGGCTTTCACCAGCCTACGTCATTTCGTCTCCCCGGTTCCAGCGAAGAATAAGTTTCTGTAGTGATGTGATTGGTTTTCCGGGGTAGGGTCACTAGCCACACTTAAAACCTTCCCATTTTTCTCTGGCTTAGGATCTGCTAGAAAACTAACGAACTAGTAAATCAGGAGAAATTAAATATAATAAAATAAACTGAAAACTGGACTTGGTAAATAACTGTTTATTGCTTATATAATCCAGTGTTAAACTCTTCCATTGTATAGCACATTTTACCATAAATTTTGACACTCAGTGGGGTATTAGTTTTAAACAAATCGGTTTCAGTGACGTGTTCCAAATGTTATGTAGCTCAGAATTTCAATTCTCAACAGTATTCACAGAAATTTGTTTCGCTCAGGTGAATACTCTCATAACCATTTGTTGGTTGGCACTTTCGTGTATCACATACAAATTTTCAATAATTTCGAAAGAAATACAAAACCAGTAGGTTGTAGTGGATCGTGATATGCAATTTAGATTCATAGCAGAGATAACATTCTTTAGCTCGGATAAAGGTAGCATGATGTTTTAAATAGTAACTGTAAGCCCTATTATATACCAGAAGAATAAAATCGCTTCATTTCTGTCGTGAAACAGAGATAAAAATCATAGCAAAACCACCAGTGATACGTGTCTGTTATTCCTCCATTTAACCAGATTTGGAAACTCTTAAACAGTCATTATGATACTAATAATAGTGTAACATACATTAAGGTTGTATGATGAGGAGTTTTATCAACAAAATACAGTCTGACCATAAAACAGCGAGAAACAATCGAAGTCATACCTACAGTTTTGAATAATTTATAGTATTTGAAAAATTCTGGACGATAAGTGTTAAAGTCCTTCTTAATTCCTAATTTCTTCATTTCTGATATTTAACCAAACATATACATTACTTTCAGCAATAGTGAAAAACTCCTCTTGTACTTCTAGATCACCTTTTAGGAGCGCTTTGATAAAATGAGATTGTTCCATATTTAATCACAGATTGGTATAAGTTGGAAAACCACTGAAAAGCAGAGTGTACTGGACAGTCTTTTCTTCCTAGTTCGGGACTCTTCATCAGTGTGCACCGATGATCCCACTGGAGATCGAACCTTCAGGTTACGAGGCCAATCCCTTAATCATTCATCTACTGGGTCGGGATTCAGTAACCTGTGAATTCTATCTTTGTCAGTTCACGATTACAGCACGATCTCCGGTGAGTATCAACGGTGAGTATTTGTCCTAATACCCGACCTGGTGGATCCTACTGGTCACAACTCTCACCAGAACTCCAGGAAGCTTCGTCCTGCAGCCTGTCACTAGCAAGCATCAGATCAATTTTAAGAGTTAGTATGGCAGAACTTAGAATTCAGGGGCTATCATTTACTGGCTGAAGTGGATGAATCGTCAAATTGTTTAACCTGGTAATCTGAAAGTCCTGGGTTTGAACTCCAGTGAGATCGAAGGTACGTACTGCTGAAGAATCCCAAACCTGGACATAAAAATTGCCTAGTACTCCTTGTTTTCCAGTGGTGCTTTAAATGACACCAATCCGAGATCAAACTTGAAATAAATCATATTCCTACACATCAACCTTTGAAAAGTAGATTGTGTTGTGTTTCAGTGGTGAAATGGAACGGACCGAGTGTCTGGTGGTAATCAGTATTACTGTTTAGTTCTGATTGTTTTGATTATGATAGTCTTTCTAAAGCCCTTACAATAGGCCAATGAGCTTAGTGACACTATAAGAGCGTTCACTTACAGGTACGGCAAGAAATAATCGACTGGTTGGTAATTTAGAAAGTCGACTTATAACCCTAAGAATGAAGCTTGCGAATGAACGCAATGTAAACTCATTTCTGTGATTATTACTTAAATACTTTATTTCCAACAGTTTATTCATAGGGATTTGATTTGTTTCAAGTTTGCCCATGGATTGGTATCATTTAGAGGACCTTTGAAAAACCGGGAGTACTGGAAAGCTGTTTCGTCCTAGTTTGGTTACCATCGGAAGTACGCACCCACCTGGTTTTGAATCCACCACCTACTGGTTGCAAGGCGAGCTCGTAGACCATTCAGTCACTGGCACCTGACTTAATGGCCCATGAATTCCAACTTCAACCAATTCGTGATTTTAGTGCAACTTGAATTATTCTCTAGGTATTCTTAGTTATTTTCCACACCACGATAATTCTGAAATGAAAAAATCTTTAATACCTTCACAGTTATGAATATCATTATTGTGAGTCTACATATAACTACGTTGATTAAGTTCGTTTTAATTCACACACCGATTTTACTGGAAAAAAAGAATCACATTATAAAAGTTGTTATGTTTGCTGAACGTAAATATCAACAGATTGTTTACTCAATGGCTTAAGATGGATGACGTATTGTTTTGTTTGTAACAGAATAAGCAATCTGAAAATGCCTTCACGAAAAAAAATTGATTAACAATATTTACACATTCTGAATATAACAACTAATTTTGTAATTACTACCATTTTCCCCTTAGGCTGTAGATCATTTTACTAATATTTGTATATCTTCTTTCGAATTAATTCATATTATTTGTTATTATTATTTATTATTCCCATTTCGAATACTTGCTGCTGTGTGATGGTGTTGATATTGTTGTATCGAAGAGGCTGTGGCGTACACAGTGAAATATTCTGCAAAATCCTACTTTGATTTTCTGAGCGTGCTGTGATCATTTTAAGTAATTTTATAGTGTGTTATTTAACGACGGAGATTTCGTCTGAATTCAAGGCAATACCATGCTATCATTGCTTGATCTTGGACTGTCAGTTAGAATCGACCTTTGTTCTGTTCGATTTTTACAGATAGAGCACTGACCCCACTATTTCGGGAATATTCTTAACATTTTTCAGGTAATTTAGAATTGTGTTCGTTAGTGCCTGGGAAACTTTTAAACTGTGTAGCTACCCGACGGCATTATCGAGGTGATTTCATACTTTCGGTACAAGTTATCATCACAGATTCTTTTACGTGCAGTCGTGTTCTGATGTTGTTGGCATATAAATTTTAACGGCGTGTAACTCGCGAAAGTTTGACAAGCTATACAGAAGAAAGCGTTGATTAGTTTCCTGTATTCATACCGAAATACCTCAATTTTTGATATTACAGTGTTGTATGGTGGTAGTACACTGAGAAAAATGAAAGCCAGCTCCAACAATGTAAGCATCACTTGTCGCAGTAAACACGTTCAAATATAAACTAACGTCATGTTTACAGCCAAATATTAAATGAGAGCCTGTATTAATGTGCTTAATTATACTTAAACATTTTTTAGATAAATGTTGACAAATAAAAGATCATGGCAGCGTTTTATATACCTAACCTCTTATCGTCATGTTTTAATAGAGTAAATGGTCCATTGAAATAAGTGATAGATAAAACTGATTCCTATTTTCGTTATGTTGATGATACGTTTATTATTCTTGATGTGAAACCTGACAAGAATGAAATGTTAATAAAATTTAATGATGCACATCCATCGCTCATCTTCACTTGCGAAGAAGAACATGATGGTAGACTATATTTCCTTGACATTCAATTGAGAAAAAGAGAGGATGGTTCACTCAAGAGAGATGTCTATAGAAAACCTACATCTGTAGGACAATATACACATTTCCTCAGTTTTGTACCAATCTGATACAAAGTCACTTTGGTCAGATGCCTCACGAAAAGAGCAAGACGTATCTGTACAGATGACTCCCTAAAAAATGAGTTAGGATACATTCGCTGGTCCAAATGGGTTATCCTAGTAGATTTGTAAAGAGACATATGAACACCAAGTACAATAAAGAGAAACTGACAACGGTTGAAAGGAAACAACTTTTCATGAAATTGCAATTTGATGGGGACGTGGCTAGCGAAGTCATACATCTGAGATTATCGAGAGCGATAAAACGGGCTTATACTGCCACCACCATTTGTTTGTCATTTTCCAGCCGACTAATTATGATTGCTCAAGAGAAAGACAAACTACCCAGCTGTGCCACATC